TTGAGTTAAAAACGGCTTGGGAATAAAAATGTTTAAACTGTTTCACGAATCACTTTCACTTTGTTCTTTTGGTTTGGTATTTAAAAGAATAATAAGGTATACTTGATAGAATTGATGACAGCAGGTATTGATCCAATGTCAAAAATATGATTGGAGATGCGGGGGATCGATCCCCGGACCTTCCGCATGCAAAGCGGACGCTCTACCACTGAGCTACATCCCCTATGTTGTTGGATGATGATATAACTGAAAGTGAGAAGTACAGATAAGTGGTAGAAGCCAAAAACAATACAAATCTCGTAAAAGATGATTGGAGATGCGGGGGATCGAACCCCGGGCCTTCCGCATGCGAAGCGGAAGCTCTACCACTGAGCTACATCCGCAAATCAATGATATGTTGTTTTTATAGGTATTACACATTACCAAACTCTGGAGAAGATTCTGTTCATTTCCTAAGTACAACGTCCAACAGGATGAGCCCAGGGCAATGGATATTCAAAGTYGGATGGCCTCACATGTTTGGAATGGAAGTGCAGCTTGCTGATAGCTACGTTGATAAAACGTCTGAACCCCTTGACTTCTTTGTTGGTCAATGTAAGTTAAAAATACTTCATATTTCCCAGAGGGTCTCAATGGGGGGGTCCGCATCACRACTCACGGATAAAAATTTGGCTTTTTCACGCCTCACGGCTAATTTTTTTCACATTTCCACGACTCACGGCTAATTTTTCAGCCGTTTCACGGCTAATTTTTCTCATTTTTACGATTCACGGCTAATTTTTTAGCCGTTTCACGGCTCACGGTTAACCCCATTGAGASMCTCTTCCCAGGGGGTGCACCATTATGAGATAGCATCACTGGCCACTATTGAGTCTCTGGTCGTGGGCTACACCCGTGCACGCAATGAACCCCCCTGAATCCGCCACTGCCATGAAAAATAACTAGTCCRCGTAGCTCCTTGYACTTAGAATTTTAATTATTTTCACGTTTCAGTTTTCAAAGGCTGTTTTGTAGTCCATGGTTACTTAACTACCAATCGTAGCCAAATCTGGAAAGATATTAGCATCAGATCATGTATGATCCTCTGCCACCAACATGAACGACCGTTTGCCGCGCTACACAATGGTGACCAGTGCGCATGCTTGGAAAATCTTAAGCACCTGGTCGAGGCTAGTGCTGACAAATGTAATGCTACATGTACCGTAAACGATTTGGAGTATTGTGGTGGTCGATACACTGCCTCCGTCTACAAGGTGAATCCACGAGCCGCGGTGCAGTCTGATCAGTCCAGCGGAGATGCCAAACAAAAGGGTAATTAAGATGCAAAGTTTCTCAAGAGGAAAAAATAGGAAGATTGATTGACATAGAGTATTGTTCTGCTTTCCTATATGAGGTCATGTGACGATGCCGGACCTTATTTTTGTTTCAGTCCATAATGGGGCTGTATTTCATTAACAAGAAATGTTTATTTATTTGTCAACCAGATTTGGACGAATGTCAATTTGCCGGGGGATTCAAGTGCCACTCTGCCGCAACGTGTGTCAATAAATCACCTGGATTCTGCTGTCATTGTAACGATGGTTTTTATGGAAACGGGGATTCATGTGTTAAGATGGGTAAGTTGTTGGATCGCCGGATTGTGAGAGATAATACTGAAGCACTTTTCAGCGATTGAGCGATCGTGAGCGATCATTATCACCATCAATACATTCTTGTTGTAGGTGCTGTACAGCGCATGTCAGGACCACTAACAGGTTTAATCAACAATGAAAACCTCGGAGATCTCAAAATGGACGTGATCGCTTTCTCAGTAGACGGACGAGCCTATGCATCGGTCAGATCATTCCCTTCGTCTTTAGCTTACTCGGTACTAATATTAACACCACTGTCTGATGTTGTAAGCTGGATGTACGCTAAGCCAAAACCTAATGGATTTATTAACGGGTTAAGTGTCGTTGGAGTGAAGTTTGGAAGAAGAGCTGTCGTTCGATTTGATTCAGGTAAGCTGTCTTATCATCATATCAATGTTTGTCATCATCATCATCATTATCATAAATGTTTTCATGCATAACGTTTTCACTATCTCAATGACATCTCAGTCGAAAATGAGCACTAAATGGGAATTCAATTTTCGCGCAATTTGTGACAGTCCCACGCGAAGCCGATACACCAACTGCAAGGCTATAACCTTGAATCTTGTCCAATATGGTTACGGCCTTGTTTACAATACACAGGGAACCCTTAGTCAGTAGATCCAAACTGGAGGATTTAAAACAAAAGAGTTWGACTCTACAACTTAGGGGTACCCTATGTTATGTAAACAGCCTTAAAGAGTGGGTACCACTACCCTCATGAATTATTAATGAGTATGTYAATACGTCCTTTCAGGCGAGCAACTTGGTATTTATCAAAAATTCAAAGGAATTGATATCCGAACCGATGTGATCAATGTAGAAACAGAAATACGGGGTACACTRCCAAAGATTGATCCCCAGGCCATCGTTAATGTGAAGAAAGTGCTGAAACAAGAATTCAAGAGRACTGGGGAGGGCAGGATGCAGTCACGTGGTACTGTCAAATATGAGGTAATGGATCGGGTCAGTTTGCCTAATGACGTCATGCAATGTAGCCGAGATGTGTTATGGGGATTAAACCGAAGCCATGTTGTCGTGTGYCAGGCTGTTTTACAAATAAAACTAATTTTGTAAAGAAACTTTGTTCTCCGTAGTCATACCATGATACACTGCGGTATATAGATATTAAGTAATTACTGGAATAGACCATAATACATGTTATCATAAAGCACGCTCGTTAACCAATCAGAAAGCGGTTTATATAATATTTCTGAAATTTTTTTGATTTTTAGTCATGTGATGTTTTTTTAATTTGTTKTGTTGTTGTTGTTGTTCAAGGTTGACGGTACRGAGCGCACTTTCACCGTCGATCAGTTCATTGAATTCAACGAGCGAAAGGGCTGTGGTCAACACGTGGATATAGGAGTGCTTGAGTCTGAACCAATCAATCTTCAGTATAACCCTGCCCAAGCCTATCTGGTCATTGCTRTGAGATCGGATTTCATCAACGGAACATTAAATTCACTAAACGGTAAAACAAGATTAAAGTTTGTTGAGCAAAAGCTATGCATCATAAATTACGTTAAAATAGCAAAAAATTGTAAGTCAAACTTTTGGAGATGCGAGGGATCGATCCCCGGACCTTCCGCATGCAAAGCGGACGCTCTACCACTGAGCTACATCCCCTGTGTTGTTGGATGATGGTATAACTGTAAGAGAAGCACAGATAAGTGGTAGAAGCCAAAAACAATACAAATTTCGTAAAAGATGATTGGAGATGGGGGGTTTCGAACCCCGGACCTTCCGCATGCAAAGCGGACGCTCTACCACTGAGCTACATCCCCTGTGTTGTCGGATGATGGTATAACTGTAAGTGAGAAGTACAGATAAGTGGTAGAAGCCAAAAACAATACAAATCTCGTAAAAGATGATTGGAGATGCGGGGGATCGAACCCCGGACCTTCCGCATGCGAAGCGGACGCTCTACCACTGAGCTACATCCCCGAAATCCTGTTAAATCCTTCTTTGTTTTTTTCGCCACATGTAAAATCTGGTGTCAATTTCTAATTTCCTTGTGACGTCATAGTGATAAGTTTTAATGTCTATTACACAGGTACCCCGAAAACTCGCAAACTTTGGCTATACTGTACTGATATGATATAATCTTTTAGGAGCCTCTTAATTAAAGTGTATTAAATCATAATAGTCACGTGATTTTTTGTGATTATTTTGTGTTTATGTTTCTTCAGGTGATGGTGAAGGGTCTGCAAAGGCTTGTGGATCTAAAAAGATCACGTGTCATAAGTCTGGAGTTTGCATTGATTTTAGGAACGACAAAGAATGTCGATGTAACTATGGTTACATTGGTGATGGCGTCACTTATTGCAATGGTATGATGCAAGTTGAATGCCTTTTTTTTTCCTTGAAACTTGTCTACGTCTATTCATGTCTTTTGTGTTATTCTGCCTTGTCATCTTGGCGTTATTTATATTTTTTGCTGCTTAATCTAAGAAAAACGTAGTTTCACCCCTCCCCACTCCGTATCCTTCGTTTTCAAGCTACGTCACAGCGGCCATCTTGGAGGAACTTCAACAAAGGATTTCTCATCAATATCTATTGTTCATGTCCTCCAACATGGCCGCCAGTCTTGTATCTTTTGAATCTCATGGGAATGGTTGAAAAAGATCAATCTCGAGAACTATCAATTCTTCAACTCTGTGAATTTTTTATTGCGTTATTTTGTTTCAGATGCTGACGAATGTTCGTTAAACCGCTATCGATGCAGTAAGGATGCAAACTGTGTAAACACCATTGGTTCCTATAAATGTGTTTGTAAAGAAGGTTATAAGGGTGACGGTCAACAATGTCGAATAGGTGAGAAATTAGGGACTAGGCCATTTGGGACAAGCTAAGAAATAATATAATGCATCATGCAAAAGCAAACGTACATGAGGGATCCCTGTGCCGGTTGTTGAAAGATGACTCGATGGTTTCTCTCAACTTTTCCTTATCTCATCCTGCTCTGCTTGCGTCGCATAGATATAAACACGATCAAAGCTTCTTCAACACCACATTAGTGAGCTTTGTTTGATGTAAGAATGATTTATTCTCTCTTTTCCTCCAGTTTTCTTGGGAAATTACATTAATACAATTGCTTCTAGAATTTAGTAGTAATTCTTTTGTTTTCTCACATGCTTGAATTCGGTAAACATGTATGTGATTACGGCCGAGAATGCGCCGCATGTTTTTCCCAATTCCCTCGAGGTCGTGAGTACAATTACACGGGGAACACGAATCTAGATCGACTTCAAGCTTGGCTTTAATGCTGGTGCAAGAATGTTCTTTGAGTATCTCGAAAATAAGCTTCTCGTTGAGTTTGAGAAGAACCTCTTATCATTTAGTGCAGGCGACAAACTTCGGTTAAAATAGTCTAAATTGGTTTTGACAGGACAATTTACGTGATAAATTACCTTCTTATGACAAGGCCAAGTTCAACTTATAAAGAACGATGCATATAACTCTAAATATAATTTTATTTACACGTTGACTTCAGAGCGGTGTATATTAAGTACCATTTACATCCACCGATATATAAACAAGTGAAAATATCACATAATATTTCTCACATTTCTTCCTCAGACAAGTCTAAACAATGTGAGAAGCCTTGCGGTGCGAATGCCAAGTGTATGCAAGTTGCCTCTGGACCGACATGCATCTGTAATCTTGGTTACCAAGGAGACGGATTTGACTGTAAAGGTGAGTGACAGCTAACCATYACGTGTCCAGAATAAATGTGCTTTTACATCAARAGAAAGTGTGATTCTTAGAAATTTTTCCTGTCTTTATACAGCTGACGGCACGTGTGATGGCGTTAAGTGTGACGTCAATGCACAATGTATGGCGTCTGAGGGAAAAGTGCGCATGTGCGTTTGTAAAAAAGGTTACCAAGGCGACGGACAAAAGTGTAGCGGTAATTTTAGACCTTGATTGAGCTCTCATCATTGCTTGTCATAAGTATTATAAGTATTATTCTGTGGGTGTGTAGGCATTTGGTATTTTCACAAATGACTTCGACTCTAACAGAGCGCACTAACAGATTGTTAATCTCTCATTGACATCACTGCAAAAGTGATTTTTTTTTTTGCTTTTCACTCTGAATTTTTTCTCTAATGAACCGTTTTTTTCTGTTTTATACAGCTGACGGCACGTGTGATGGCGTCAAGTGTGACGTCAATGCCCAATGTACGGCGTCCGAAGGAGAAGTGCGCATGTGCGTATGTAAGAAAGGTTACCAAGGCGACGGTCAAAATTGTACAGGTAATTTGAATGTTTCATTTGTACACTGTCGATATTGGTCATCAGAATCAAATAGTAATCAAATAACTAGTCACTCAGATTTGACGCTGAAAGTCTATTATGCAACCAAAAATAAACAGTTTTATCAAATCTGTTGGAGATYGCTATCATGAACTTTTTTTCGGTCTTGTTTTTATACAGCTGACGGCACGTGTGATGGCGTCAAGTGTGACGTCAATGCTCAGTGTATCGCATCAGATAGAAAAGTGCGCATATGCGTTTGTAAGAAAGGTTACCAAGGTGACGGACAGAAATGTTCAGGTAATGCTAACTGTTGAATTGTTTACCACTATACTTAAAACATTTTATTTAAAAAAATCCATTTTACATATTAGGCATTTTAGAAACGTTTGTGTTTTGTTTGTTAAGTAATCCTAGGTGGGTGTGGGGGCGTCGAATGTCACAAGAATGCTCGATGTCTTGATTCGAAGTGTGCATGCCGCGCGGGATATGTTGGGAATGGTCAAAGCTGTGAAGGTAAGAAATACTCGAGGTTTGCTCATCGAAATTAGAGAAAACAACGCCAGCTATAATTGTAAAAATAGAATGGTCGCTTTATAGACTGTAGATATTGATTGGTTTTTGTCGTCCTTTTTCATTGTTTTTTCCTTGATTTTTGGCAATTTGAAAAGAAGAACAATCAAGCAAAAACACCATAAAAAGTCATCAGTATGGACGAGGCCTTAACCCTGGCACCTATTTGTAAAATAAGATTTCTTTTCTTATTATTTCAGATGAGAATGAGTGCGAAACGAAGAACAACAGTTGTGATCCTAATGCTGTATGTCTGAATAGTGTTGGTACGTATGGATGTGAATGTAAGGACGGCTACAAAGGTGATGGCTATAAATGCGAGAAAGGTAAGTCATTATCACTTGATTAATATATTGATTATTTCATCATTCGAATGATTGATTGATAGGTTGATAGATAGATAGATTGGTTGATTGATTGGTTTGTTGAGTTGTAGTAGGTTTGTTGGCCGATTGACTGACTGTCTGATTATTGGCTTTTATTTTTTTTTTGGTCCGGTAATCCTAGTCATTCGCGCGCTGTGATTGGCTAGTGCGCGGTCCGGTTTTTCACGATCTGCCCGGTCCACGGTATCCTGCAGCTACGGCTTCGTGCAAAGTTGCATAAAATACAAAAAAATAAAAATAAAAATAAATAAAAATGTTATTTACCGGCTATAGGTCGGTCCGTATAGAAAAGCACTGCCCTTGGTCTTTTATGTACGGACCTCGCTGCGCTTGTTCAGTACTGTCAAGACCTCGGGCAGCCCAGCCGGTAAATAACATATATATTGATTGATTTGAAAATTGATAGATTACTTGATTGATTGACTGATTGATTCGTTGGTTTGTTGGTTGAGTACGACTGCAAACTGATGAATTGATTTAATCTTTAATAMATTGGTGGGTTTCTTAACACTTGATTGATTTGTCGGTATTTCTTGGTATAGTTAGTTTGTTTTGCTCAAATTCATTAAACATTTACTTACTTTTACAGACTTAGATTACTGTGGAGGCGAAAGATGCCATCGATTTGCAACTTGTGAGAAGAATCCTGCATCTAACAAGYTGTACTGTAAATGCAGACTTGGATTTCGYGGTGACGGAGTACAATGTGCTGGTAAGAATTTCTATTTGCAACTTTAGCCATTTTCTTTTAATAAAGCGCGAAATAAAGAAAATTGCAASGGTCTTCTCTTTGTGATGACGTCATGTTTGCTTTGACGAAATGCATTATGGTATTGACTATCAAAATGGCGGATACCGTATAAAAACTAGGAAGGAAGGCATTTGTTTCTCAAAATCCAAGTTATCCGTTGTCAAGCATAGCATGCAAGATCAATAGCTGGAATTAAGGAATCTAGAGTATACCCAAAGACCTGCTGTGGAAAAAAGGGATGCTTATAGAACTTTTCAGTCATTTACCGTATACGCAATGCATTGTAGGACATGTTGGGAACAGAACATGGCCGCGGATTTCTTTTGTTTTATCTACAAACTGATCCCACAATGCATTAAAGATCACGTAGTGACGTAAAAGGTTCAGAAGTCTTTTGTTAAAAACAAAAACTCGTGGCTTCACTTTTTTTTGTCAATCCCATACTGCATCTCGGTGAACATCGTATGACGTCATCTTCCCAAGTGCGCTTGCAACTGAGGTCCATGACGGATATATTAGGAGTACAGTTGAAATCATAGCTTTATTCAAACGTGGTTGTTATGTTCGCAGATTTCAATGAATGTATACCGTTACTTAAAACGTGTGACAGTAACGCAATGTGCCGTAACACACTTGGGAGTTACGAGTGCCTGTGCAAGAGAGGATACGTAATGGAAAAAGGAAAATGTGTCGGTAGGTTAAGAATAGACCTTGAAGCTTTTACGTCATGTACCGTATACGCAATGCATTGTAGGATGTTCGGGACAAAACATGGCGGATTTCTTTTGTTTTCTCTAGAAACTGATCCCACAATGCATTGTAAATCAAGTAGTGACGTAAAAGGTTCAGAAGTCTATTGACATAAAATATTTAATCATACATGTCATATGCGTGCGTAGTTAGGCACAATCTCTGCTTCAATGCCACACAATACAAATTTTAAGGCTACAGAGTGCGGGATATGCTTAAGTAAAACTATAGGTTTTTCGCGTTAATCTGCTCACGATCCTGCTCACAGGCTCTTCAGAAAAACGTGCGCGTTAACGAAAACCGTGCGTAGCGTACACGCTAACAGCGCGTATAAAGATTAATGTATTTTTTTTGTGCTTAGTGAATGGAAAGTGTAATGGACAAAAGTGTAACTCTAACGCCCACTGTAACGCAATGCAGCAATGCATATGTAACGCTGGCTTTAAAGAAGATGGCAAACAGTGTGCTGGTAAGTGTATATTTAGATAGATCGACAACAAGGGCATTCATGCACCAGTCTTGGTTTACTATCGGGTCATCATTTCAAATGATAAGGTGAAATCCGAGGTGAACAGCCAACCACAACACTCTCAACAGTACAGTCACGACAGAAGCTTTTCGTACTGATTCTGCTTGTGTTTCCGACTCTGATACCGACTAAAATTAATTAAAATCAATCTTACAAAGAACTAATACACAAGTAGCACAAAGACGACTCAATTAAGATGAATTTTTTGTTCTTTTCCACCATATACAATTACCCCCTATGTTTTATACCTATTTTTCCAGAATTAGCTTAAGCTCATCCAATAATTGGCGATGTAATGCCAAACCATTTATCAAAATAACCACGAGGAACACTTTCTGTTGTAATAAACACTAAATTATTTCTTGTATCTATGCCGTGGAGCTCCATTAGCTTTACAACGCGCGACTGGTTCCTTTCAATGGGAAAATCAATAATAACAGATTTGGAAGACTGAAGAGAGTCCACGGGAGATAATATCGTCAAAAAATGCTTTTAAATAGCACTTTTACAGCTATCAGAATCCGCAAATAGGGGGCCAAATCGGTAGCCTTCGTGCTGTCGGTACGCTACTCTCACGGCAGCATAACCGACAATAGTTCGCGTGGCTACCTTTGGCGCGGAACCATTTCATTAAGAAACAGTACTGTGTCGCTGATAACCAAATACAGCTGTATCGTAACTCAGCAGAGCTTCTTGGTCGATTTTTATGGTGCTTTTCGCCGTTAAACCATCTTCATTGGATGGACTGGCTTCGAGGAATTCAAGAGCCTTCGTTAGGTTGATAATACCATAGTTTGAGCACTACCACTGTGTCCGATATCCATGAATCTCGAAAGGAGAACGAGGACTAATGGACAAGATTTCCAAATAAAATGGGAATGGAAACGATAGTGAGCCTATAGTTTTCTTTCACACCAGAATACTGCTGACACAAGTGTTATACTTTTGAATTCTTGGCCTTCATCGGTAAAGAATTTCTTGATACTATTGTCA